TCCCTGCCCCAGCCATATTGCTTTTGTCTCTCCTTTGTTCAGAGACAGCCTGGCAGATCTATTCCCCTAATAAAGGCTTGCTGTGGCCTGGTCTGGTCTTGGTCTTCGGCCCTTTTACCTGACAACCACAAAGGTCCCTTCAGTGATCCAATAATGTCCATTCCATGTGTTCCCACATGGCAACTTTCCACTCCAGGTTGTATTTTATTTTCCAATCATTATACTAATGCTCACTTCAAATGCTTCATGGATACTTAATGATAATAAATGTAAAACTAAATTGTGTGTGTGTTTTAATACAAGTTATGTAAAAGAACAGGTTTCCTAAGAGAACTGCATAATTCCCAGGGCTTGGAATAAAACTGCGTGATAAACATTAGTTGCTGAGAATCTGTATGTTTATCCTGAAATAATATTGCATTTTTACATTTCTACTATGAGGTCAATGTTATGGCTTAGATTGAGAATGTCCCCCCAAGGTGTCCTGCACTCGGAGGTGTGGCTTTGGGAAGGTGACTGGATCACAGGGTGCTACAGCTGTTGAGCAGTCACGAGCTGGGGTCTGCTTAGGCATGACCTGGAAAGATTCCTCCCCTTTCTCTCTCTACTTCCTGACAGTCCTGATGTAAGTAGCTTTCCTCCTCAGCAGCCCCTTCTACATGAGATTTTTCCCTATAGAGCCAGTGAACTATGGACTGAAATCTCTAAAAGCTCTGAACCCAAATAAACCCCTCCACCTTTAAGCTGTGGGTGTCAAGTATTGTGTCTCAATGAGAAGTAACTAAGACAGTAAGAAATAAAACATAAAAGAAAGTAAAACAAGGGAACATTTCATATATATAAATTTTTAATTGATAGATTTACTAATTTCTTGCCCTTATTTTTTCTGTATTGCTTGCAATTTTCCAGTATTCTTTTTAATATGTATTGTAACACGCCATTAATTTTTAAAGTTATTATTAGAACTCAACTATTTACAGAAAAGTTACAAAAGCATGCTCAACAACACTTTAGCAAACTACCCAAACTTGTGGACAAATTTTACATCCTAGGAATAAGAGAAAGAACAGATTTGTCAATCCCTTTAAATACTAATGTTAGCAAATTAATCCTCTCTCTGTACTAGCTCCCACGCTAATTAAGTTTTTACCTATATCAAATATATTTATCTTCACACATTTGCAGAAAAGCAAGAGCTTTCCCTTAGCAGCCCGCCAATATCAGTTGCACGGGATTCAGTTGAACTTAGAATCTGGAATCAATTGCACTGCCTCATCATTCTTTGAAAAAAAACATTGAATTTTTGTTTCCGTTTCATAGGGACCACAAACTCAGTCAACTCTACTGAACAATGTGCAGTTTTCTAACGAAATGTACACACAATACCCTCTACTGACCTTTCCCGCCGCACTCCCTGCCTGCATTCACTCTCTGGGCTCAGGATCTGTTTGGTTTCAGGTAATCCAGGGCTCAGGGCCCAGGACGTGAGCTCGGAGGTGAAGGGTGAACAACTTCAGAGATATACTTTCAGATGAGTCAGCCAGATCTTCCAAACACACCTCAGCAAGCAGATTCCACTCGACAAAAACACCAAGCACCTGTGCGGTGCAATTGTCAGTCATTTTTCTTCAAATGGGATCTCATTTCGTTCCCCAGGCTACTCTTGAATTCCTGGGTTCAAGCGACCCTCTTGCTTTGGAGTAGCTGCAAGTACAGGTGCGCGCCAGCCAGGGCTGAGCTTCTCCCACTGTAGAAATCCCGAGAATTCCCAGAGTATCTTTGCTCCTTTTCTGGCCGCCTCCTCCCGCGCCTTCCTGGCTCCGTCTGGGGTGCAGGTCCCTGTTCCCTCCTGAGGACTTGGACTGTGGGGACACAGGACACAACCTGCCTCCCCTTCCCGCGACAGCGCTGCCCACTGCTCCCAAGCCTGGCACTCAATGAAGGGGCAAAGCTGGGAATGCGCGGGCGGGAAGTCCGGGGCTTCGAGGAGCGACCCAAGTCCGGAGCAAGGATTCATCCAAGGCAGGGTGGGTGCGCGTTGTGACTCAGGGCTCAGGCTGGGGAAGTGGCCTTGCCCTTGTTTGCACAGAGCTTCCTGCTAGGTCGGGATCGGAGCTGAGTTCCGGGGTGCCTGAGCTACTCACAGACTGACCTTGACCACCACACCCTGCCCAGGAGCACTCAGAGACAATAAAAGACTCCCTGCTTTTTATAAAGAAGGAAAGGAAACAGGGTGTGTGGTTAACAAAGAGAAAGGCAGTGAGAACTCTCACTCACGCGCTCTCTCTCTCTCTCCCCCTCTCCTTCTCCCTCTCCCTCTCCCTCTCTCCCTCTCTCCCTCTCTTCCTCTCTGTGTATGTGTGTAGGTGAGAGCAGGACTACCATGGTATATGACTTCCTGTGCAACAGACTAGAGAACAAGTAATTAATTCACAGGTAGCTAAGCCCTATAAAATGGAGCACAGTGGGGGAAATATACTGTTTAGGAACTGATAATTAACCTGATGAATCAGACAATCAGTGCAGGATGTAACATTTGTCCCTGTATCACAAGTTGAAATGTTCAATGTTCAGGGTTCACCAAACTAAATTTAAACATGCATGAAGGTCTTTTGCTTAGATAAACATTTTATGGAAGTGCAATGTATATACAAAAAAGTATAGAAAATCTAACTAGATAGCTTGATGTTTACTTACACACCTATTCATTTGCCACTAGATTCTTTAAAAGAGCATTGACAGTGTCCTAGAAATTGTACCTGGAGCTTCCATCAGGCTCCGGCCTAGTCATTACTCCTAAAAAAAGGTTATAACTATGTTCAATTTTATACATTAGTTTTGGTCAGTTTTTACTTAATCATTACTATTATTATTTTAGGCAGTGCCATGGCTCAAACCCAAGGCTTTGCCCATGAGCAAGCTCTACTACTGAACAATGTTGCAAACCGTTGAGGACTTTAATAACTTTATTTCATGAACTCTCTTGTTGATTCATTGGTTTCTCTTCCAACGTCACTCAGCATCTCACCAAGGTCGCTGGACATCTCTTCATTGGTCCTGTGGCAATTGACATTCTAGAACTTTCTCTCTTTGGCTTCTGTAACTTGTCTGCCATGTTCCTCCTTGTCCTATTCACTGTCATGTCCTCAGAAGCATGTTTGAACAGTGTGCTCTCTGTGGACCTTTGGGTTTCTCTTCAAGTGATTTTTCCCACAGCAAAATTTCAACTGTACTTGCATGTGGTAACTGGGAAGTCCCTCTTGCCATCTCCAGGCCTATCTCATGAACTACACACTTGTGCCATTCTGCACATCCAATAGGATCCTCATCATATCTCACCCCTGACAGCCCTAACCCTGTCTCATCATCCCATCCATCCAAACATGCTTCAGGCACTTGCCTACCTGGATGAACATCACTATCACCCACATGAATGCCTCACCCAAACCTGGGAAGCACCAAGGATGCCTTCCCTTCACCTCTTATGATAGCATTGTGCCTCTTAACCACCAATCCAATCGTCTTCTTCCAAACATCACTCTTATCCCTAATTAAATCTTCATCATTTCTCTTCCGAATTATATAGTTTTTCATGTATGTGACTGTTTAGAAAATTAATTACAAATACATTTAGGTCCTGCCTATAAGTGTGGAAAGGAATGTGAGAGAATACAATTGGGGAAGAGGGTCTCCTATAGGGAAGGCCCTAGGAAGCCTGAAGAAAGAGTAGGAGACACTCAGATGAAGATAGAAGTGCACAAATGAAGACTTAGAAGCAGGAAAAGACTCAGTATTCCAGATGTCAGTGACATTGGTTACTCCATAGTACCAACTAATGAGGATGAAAAGGAGGTCAGGGACCAGACCCTATAAGTCTGTGGGTCTTTCATAACGGGTTTGGGGGAAGCTAGTGTTTTAAGTAGGAAAGTTAGAGGATTTGTTTAAAGTTTAAGAAGATGACTCAGTGTCACACGAATCACAGACTGGATGGGAGCCACTCTCTCCCTATTCCCTGGTATTGCCTCCAGGCACTGCTGTTTCTAACCAGAGTAATGCAAGTTTCTCTTTCTTTTGAGCTGCTATCATCACCTCATCTTTAAGAAAATCTTTAAAACTTTAGATACATGACTAGCATTTTACTACCTGGTCTTTGCTTACTTCAGAACTGCCACTCCCTTCTCCTTATCAAGTCAATTGTGATTTTCATAAAGGCCTCTATGTCTAATGTTCTCTTCCTCCCTATCCAATTCCTGCTGTGAAAGAAAAGTTATTCAACAATACTTGTTAAAGTGCAGTAAGGTAGACTTTATGAGGACTATATTCCACAAGTTAGGAATGCACACCCTGTATGATATTTGATGTATACAAAGAGTAAGTCATTTATCAATTTAATATAGCTAGGTAATTTTTGTCTTTCCCTGTCAAAAATTGAGAAATGTAAGGTTGTTTCCAATTACAATATGATTCTTCTTGTTCTCATATTATTAACAGGTTCATTTTATATATCTTGATGCTCTGTTATTCAATATATAAGATTTTATGATAGTGAAATCATTGTGTATGATATGATTTATCAATATTAAATAACATTTTATCAGCACAATGATCTCATTATAATTTCCTTTATGAGAATAACATCACTTACCACCCTTTAAAGAACACTGTTAAAAAAAAAATTAAAAAAACCACTTTGTTCCACATATATTTTCTAAAACACTCTTTCATTTTGAAATGTATTTTGAGTTCTTATAAAATATTTACAGATGCCTTATTAATTTCAAATCAATTATTGTAAATTCAACATCCAATAAAAAGACTCAATTTTTATCAAGTTTCTATCTTTTTGGGGGGCTTTTGTAACTTCCTATAATTTTTAATTTTTCTTTCTTCTTAGATTGGAGATTTTTCTTTGCTTATTTATTCTACTCATAGGAATTTATATAATAGATGTATTTCCACAACATCCTGTGTTTGCGTTTAATATTTATATGTGTACTTTCTCAACAATATTATGAATAAAATAATATCCATTAGCTATTTTGAAATGACAGACAATGTTTTGAAGGCAGCTTTTGTTAGTTTCCATGCTGCTTGTTTGGCAACCTATGTTTTACAATATTTTGTTCTGCCTGATTTAGTGAAAAAACTGGAAAGTCAGGGTTTGGAACAAGAGCTAAATAGAAGAAATAAATGCATATGGGAGATATATGCACCCTATATCTACGATATCTGAATAATTCCCTCTCTTCTTTTGGTGCCCATTTCAGGATGTCATGTGGCAGCTTTTTCTTCCAGGAGTCATTTTATTTAGAGAGAGTGAGTGCAAAATGTTATTCTCATTTTCTCGACACCAAAAACTAAGCCAAGGAGAGTTGATAGAAGTTCAGGATCCCCACACAAAGACACACAGTTATGAAGTACAGAAGCAGATATTCAGAATGGGGCACAGCTGAGACTAACACAAATCATCTGACTCCAAACACAGAGATTGTTTACCTGATAACCACACAAACTTCCATAAATAACCTAACTGTTGAACCTCAAACTTCTAAAAAAAGAACAAGTCAAGCCCAAAGTTCATATAAGGGAGAAAACTAAAAAAGATCAGAGCAGAAATTAATGCAATTGAGACTTAGGAAACAATACAAGGAATCAAAGAAGTTGGGCCAGAGATTTAGCTCAGTGGTGCTGCCACCTGCCTTGCAAGTATAAGGTACTGAGTTCAATCCCCAGTACCAAAAAAAAAAAAAAAGAATCATTGAAGCAAAGAGTTCATTTTGCAAAAGATTAAATAAAATTGACAAGCCTCTAGCCAATCATATCAAAAAGGAGAAAGAAAAGACTCAAATTCAGGCAATTAAACATGAGAAGGGTGAAATCACAATGGATCCTGCAGAAATACAGAAGATTATCAATATCTACTTTAGAACTTGTACTTAAATAAGATGGAAAACACAGAAGAAATGGACAAATAACTTGACACATATGAATTACCAAAGGTGAATCAAAAAGATATACAAATTCTAAATAAACCAGTATCAGTCAGTGAAAATGGAAATGTAATTGAAAACCTACCAGAAACAAAAGTCCACATCCTGAGGGATTCACTGCTGAATTCTACAAGAAATCTAGAGGAGATCTAATGCTATTACTCCTCAAACTCTTTCATGAAATTGAAAGGAAAAGAGTACTCCCAAACTCATTCCTGGAAGCAAGTGTTACCCTGATATCCAAACCAGGGAAGGATCCAACCAAAAAAGAGAACTACAGGTCCATCTCCCTAATGAACATAGAAACAAAAATCCTCAATAAGATATTGGCAAACAGAATGCAGCAAATGGTGAAGAAGATTATACACCATAACCAAGAAGGATTCATACCAGAGATGTAGGGATGGTTTGACATGTGCAAATCAATAAGTGTAATGTACCATATTAACAGAGTCAAGGACAAAAACCATATGATCATCTCAATAGATGCAGAAAAAGCATTTGACAAAGTCTGACACCCATTCATGATAAAAGCCCTACAGAAAATTGGAATCGATGGTCTTTATCTCAATCTGATAAAAGCCATCTAGGACAAACCAACAGCCAATATCATACTGAATGGATGAAAACTGAAAACCTTTCACTCTAACATCAGGAAAAAGAGAAAGATGTCCACTATCACTACTTCTATTCTGGAAGTATTAGCCAGACTAATTACACAAGAGAAAGAAATACAAGGAATAAAGACAGGAAAGGAAGAATTTAAATTATCACTATTGGCAGATGACATGATACTCTACACAGAAGACCACCAAAACTCCACCAAAAGATTTCTAGATTTAATAACCTAATTCAGTAGCATAGCTGGACACAAAGTCAACACTCAAAAATCATAGCATTCCTGTACAAGAATAACAAGCTCACTAAGAAAGAAATTAGGGAAGCCACACTTTTTAAAATAGCATTGAAAAAAATGAAATACTTAGGAATCAGTCTAACAAAGGAAGTAAAAAACCTTTACATTCACAACTACAGTACTCTGAAAAAGTAGATCAAAGAGGATATCAGAAAATGAAACAATACCCCTTGCTTTTGGGTAGGAAGAA